GTTTAGATACCATTAAGGTTGCTTTTTTCCTTTTCGTTTTTTTTAAACAGATTAAGACATTGAGAAACTCATTTGAAAGACACATCTGGGGAAAAAAAGTAGTAAAATCAGGTTTAAATGAGAGAAAGTTGAAAATTATACAATTCAAAGTAGGTATATTTTTACTTATATGAATAACAACCTTAAAAAAATACACATACACATTCATATCTCAAGTCAAATTTGGCAGACTGTAAAAGAGAGCCATCTGGGAACTTAATTCCTAAGACATGACTTTACAGTATTGCTGCAAAATCAAGTACCCTTTTGAAGCTTTAGAGATCAGCTAAATCCTTAAAATATCATTTTGGGCCTCCTTTATTTTCACAAGGGAAATATGTTAACACTAATTTCGCTCCCAACTACTGTTCCTTTGGTAACTAGTACATGTAAAAATAACAGATTCTTGATTTCTCCACCCTCCATTTGATAAACAGACCTTTTTTAAAAACTCAGTCAATAATATTTCAAGTCACATTTTAGAACTAAAATATTAATACCGCAAATAACGAAAGAGTAAGTGTACACTAAAAAATACTTTTTCTTTGCATGACAAATATTGTGTTCAAAAGCATCGCCATCCTATAATTGTATTATGAACAGAATGTATCTAAGGAAGTGCGAAAAACTGGATTGGAATGGTAAGGGGGTAGAAAGAAAAAACATGTTTATAATCTGTTCAAATTCTCAGCTTAAAAATTTCAATATATAATTTGGTTTAGAGCAATGGTTTAAATGCAGGACTTAGTCTGAGTCAAAATGCTAGACACAAAATTAAAACCTTTAATGTTCAACTCTACCTTTCTGTCAACTTCAATCCTCCAATACAGGACGTCTGGGCTGCTCTGTTGAGTTGCTTTCCACAACGAGTCATTGTTCTGTGCCTCTTAATGACCAGATGCCACCACAAAGACCATGACACTTGCTGTAGGAGCTCTGCAGTGCACTGTGGTTGCTCTCCCACAGGCCTTTTAGAGAAAGTGTGCAGAGATGGCCCTGTGGGAGTCGCACCCCCTCTTCTCTGCAGATTGTGTGTTTCTAAGTTCAGTATGGATATTTGGTAAATGGTTAATAATACGGTGCAGTTAATCATTGGTGCAGAAGCTAAATTTCACGGCCTCAGTAAACATCTCAACTAGGATAGGTTCAACCTCAATCTACCATTCATGGAGGCTAAGTCCCCAGTTTGCTTACTACCCTTTCGGGAAGAAAAGGAGTAAAGATACACCCTGTCCATCAAAGTCAGGAATGTCAAAATTAAAAGTATCAACTGACTTTTGCATATATGTAGTCCCAAAATAAGTGGAATAATTCAAACATATTTGGAAAAGTTCAAACTATTACTTCCTTCAAATAAAATAATTCAGTTAGAAAATTAATATGTATAATTACAGAAATATAATGAGTACCCTAGCTTGTTTGACTAGTGAAAATTGTTACAAAGTAAATGGTAAATCTCAAACTACTGGAAAATAAGATTTGTACTTAGGGTCTGGATTATTGAAGTGATTCAACAGCAGGGGGTCTTTAAATTAATGCGTCTGCTCTTGCCACTCATTCTCACCACATACAACTCTCCTAGGCTCTGTGTCATCTATGCTTTGAATAACATAGATAGTGGACTGTTGTCCACTAACAAAAAAAAATACCTCACATTTGCCAACATGTAGTTCTTTGCTCTCAGTATGTTCTGCAAACGTGTATCTTAGATTACATGTGCAGGACGACCAACAACAGGTCTGTGAACTGTTAATGCAGTATCTTAGGGATTGAATTTTGATAGAGCATTTAAAATAATAAATAGTTTGCCACACTTTTGCTAATTTTTTTTTTCGGTACACAGGCCTCTCACTGTTGTGGCCTCTCCCGTTGCGGAGCACAGGCTCTGGCCACGCAGGCTCCACGACCATGGCTCACGGGCCCAGCTGCTCCGCGGCATGTGGGATCTTCCCGGACCGGGACACGAACCCGTGTCCCCTGCATCGGCAGGCGGACTCTCAACCACTGCGCCACCAGGGAAGCCCCCTGAGCTTTTTTTTTTCTTTTTTTACTTTTGCTAATTTTAATGTATATGGATGGGCAAGATGATGTCCAAGTACTCACACCTTACTGCACGCTCCAAATACAATGAGCCTTTCCGTAAAATGAACAAACATACTAACACAGAAATACATGTTATTATATTAGTAAGTAAAAAGTCACACTTCAGCTGAAAGTTTATGTCAGTATCCTCCCTTCCACATGATTATCTTGCTGGCAGAGTGGAAATCTAAAAATCTGAAGTCAAGGCCTCTCAACCTCAGCACTACTGATATTTGCGATCAGAAATTCTTTGTTACAGAGGGCACTAAATACCCTTTTGAACTGAAGGGTATTTAGCAGCATCCCTGACCCCCAGGATGGCGGTAGCACCCCCATCCCAGCTATAACAACCAAAAGTACCTCCAGACGTTGCCAAATGCCCCCAGTTGAGAACCACCAGTCTAACCAACACCAAGGCTTTTAATCTACAATAAATATAGGACAAGATCTTTGACCTACAGAAGCCTCCACGTTGCATAAGAACTGAAACTAAAGAGAAACGCATTACTATTTCGTAAGGAATTATTTGCTTTCCTTCACATTTTCCCTTCCTTCTATAAAAATGCTATCTCAGAGGGCTTCCCTGGTGGTGCAGTGTTTAAGAATCCACCCGCCAATTCAGGGGACACGGGTTTGAGCCCTGGTGTGGGAAGATCCCACATGCCGCAGAGCAAATAAGCCCCTACGCCACAACTACTGAGCCTGCGCTCTAGAGCCCGCGAGCCACAACTACTGAAGCCCACGTGCCACAACTACTGAAGCCCGCGTGCCACAACTACTGAAGCTCACGTGCCACAACTACTGAAGCCCGCGCTCTACAGCCCGTGCTCTGCAACAAGAGAAACCACCGCAATAAGAAGCCCGCGCACCATAATGAAGAGTAGCCCCTGCTCGCCGCAACTAGAGAAAGCCTGCGCGCAGCAATGAAGACCCAACACAGCCAAAAATTAATTAATTAATTAATTTTTTAAAAAAGCTATCTCAGGGCAGAAGAGCTCTGGCCAACTATTTAAAGAAGCTGTCTGCCAGCTTTCTCACTCTCCACCCTACACTTCCTTTGCAGCAGTCCCACGATCGACCCCTGTGCTCTTTGGTCCAACAAGACGGAGCTGTCAGGGCGATGCTCTTAATTAAGAGAGTCGAGGTCCTCATGCAGATGTTCTCACTAGGACTACTTGGACACATCTTGCTTTTATGGACTTGTGGTTTCCACTGAAACAAGTTGTTCTGCATACTTCCTACTACGGCTGTAACTACGTGACCTCCCGGTTTCGGTTTGTCACTAACTTCATTTCATTGAAGGCTGAGCCCAGATACTGATTTTTCCTGAACACTTTAGACCCAGCGTCTCATGAAACAGGCTCCAGGCAAGTTTCACTCAGGGCACTCTTGTTATTAGAAGCCAACAAACATGTTTTATTAAGTCCATAGCCTCCTCGAACATCGGCTACAGAGTTTCAAAACAGTATGATTTTAAGGGGAAAAGACATTTCTTCTTAATAGACAGCAACAACTGAAGAAAAACACTTTGAAAGTTAAAAATTTCTTTGCCCATCAGATAGGTCATATGAGAGAATGCTGATTAGGAAAAATAAATTCATCCATGGTTATTTTTCATGGAAATTAAACATGACCTCGAATACTGCAGAAGTAAACATGCCATTTTGGTGACGAAACTTAGCATCTCTCAACAATCTTCCAATTAATCAGAAATGCTAACAGACCCATCCCTGCTATGCACGTATCACTGCTGTGTCGTTTAGAAATGCTTGTTCAACGGAACTAGAAGCATATAGATATGAAATGGCTTGTTCATTTAAAAATATATCATTGCTTTTAAAAGATTAATCCTACCCAGGTTTTTAGGTTATATGGCTAAAGACAATGTTTACTATAAAAAATATTTATAGACAGGGTTATTCTTCTTTAGAAAAAAATCTTGACCATATTTAAGATTTTACAGTCATTTTTTAATAACTTTAAAGCTATTACAACAGGGATATTAACTCTTCAAACTTAGTCTTTGAATTGGTAAAAGCTAATTTTTTCATTTCTATTATTTCTATAGATAGAATAAGGTGTTTATTTTTTCCAATGGAAAAATGCTAATTATGTTTAAGAGCCATGATAAGGAAGAAGTCACTATTACAAAATTGAATCATTTTCCTGTCACACTGAGCTGGTAACATGAGTTTATTCTGATTCACTGAAAGCAAATTTAGATTTATAAGAGAAAAATCTTACAAGAGTTTAAAACCAGATTTCCTGAAACCATATACTCAAACACAAACGGCATTTTCCATCTAAAACACAACACAAACACCTGCGCACGTTTTCACACACACCCCCCACTTTCACTTTCTCATCCATACTGTTAAAAGAGTGAAAAATAGTTCATTTTTAGAAATCAGCCAGTTGACAAAAGTCATTAGCGGTACATGTTGGTCCCAAGCACCGCTGCTTTCCAAATATTAAGTCTCTTTCATCACTGCCCCACTCTCATTTTTATGTTAGCAATCATGTCTTAATTTCAAATAATTTTTACTCTGTAAGCTAAAATATAACCTTCTCCATTTTCTTTATAAATATAATGAGCATCCTCACCATTAGCAACCAAACACCATGATGTTGGACGAGCATTAATATAAACCACCATTTTGGCTAATACAGGAATTTAAAATAATAATATACCACGGTCTCAGTTACAGACAGCTTCATACTCACAATCCCTAAACTATTTCTTAAATGGTCTGTTTTGGAATGCAAACAGAGGAAGACAGAGGGACAATTTTTCTGTAATCAGAGCTCTCAGGAATTATTTACACTTAAGCTACAAGCCCTAAGTTTAAAAAAACATGTAACAAACCAGTGAAACTTACTTGACAGTGACTCGATTTGATAAATCCTGTAGATCCCCAGGATGGAAAAGCTGGGCTTCTTTCAATCCAATCTGTTCACAAGCTTTCAAAAAAACGTTTATATTATCCTGTGAAAAGAAGTGGAAAGTGATGGCTTAGCTGAGCTCTCTCTCAGACAAAGGTTACCAATTTTTATGATATAACTTCCAAGCTTCAAAGTCCAATTACACCCAGCAAAAAAGGAGGAAGCAAGACCAAGCCACTCATGTATGTAAAAAAAATAATATTAATATGTGCGCATGTATAGCCTTTTAGTTTGCCAGAGCATAAACGGCAGTGCTCTCTTATGCCAGGCATACGCTGTTCCTGTGATCTTTGTGACTGGCACGTTAAACATTACCTGTTATAGGACAAGTGCCTGGCCACTGAGCAGTAATCTACACTTGGATGTCAGCTCTGCTCTGCAAACAAACGCCCTCTTCCCAGCTTTGCACGACAAGCCTCACCTCTCCTCTTTAAAAATAACTCCAGCTACTGACATTCACCCACCCAGAAACTGTTGGCAGGGAAGAAAGAAGAGGAGGAACATTCTGTTTCTATGATTACAAATTACAGAACGACTGCGGAATACCACACCTGGAATCTGGGTTTGGTTGCTTACCCGGCTCTTGACAGACAGGGAAACCACACTGTAGGACCCAGGAGAAGCCCAGTGATCATTGGCTGAGCCACAGAGTTGAGGTGTGGTCATTACTCATGCCCTGCACCTGCCTCAGGAAGTGCCTCCACAGAATGAAAATCTAGGTTGCCCTCCAATCTAATTTCAAAACCCAAATCCTCCATTCACAAACCAAGGCTTTTCATTCACGTAAACAGCTGCACCAACACTGACAATAGTAGAGACACACTGGGTGAGCAGAATTAGCTGGAGCTTCTGTCTTTACTCCGCTTCAAAAAAGAAAACCCTTTATGGGCTTGAGCTTGTGCAGATGCCAAGCGACTCTTCACCTTCACGTTGTCAGGTTCTCAGGCAAGAGAATGGCCTCCTCACATGCCAGCACAGGCTGGTCCCCTCACACCTGCTGGCAACGCCACATCTGAGGGGTGAGCCTCTCAGGGCCCCTGAAACCTCACCTCACTCCCTAACAGGTGGCCGTGAGGGTCCTCTCTGCCACGTGGAGAGAGGCAGTTACTCTCTTCCAATGCTGGGAAGCTCATCTCCACAGGAAGAAAAGGCAGGCTGCGATGGCAACGTGGGAGGGAATGATCGAAAGGGAAATGAAGGAAGGTGAAGAGACTAAATTCAACAGTTTGGGTTCTTGGCGCGTGAGAGGACTCAGGGAAAGGGGAAGCAAATGTATGGCAGAGAAAAGCAATGCTGTTAGGGAGCTCAGGGACATTTAAAAAAAAACCTGTTTGTAGCGGTAGGATGTTAGTCTAGTGTACGTACTATCAGTAAAAGGCAGCGTGAACTACCTAGCTGAAAGCTGCAATCCATGATTCATTTTACTCATTTTGAATAGAGGTCAAAGATTAAAGGAACTTAAGTCAAAAGTTGAACAGCTCAATGGAAGGCATTCAATCTGAGAAGCACTAGGCTCCACAGGTGTAGTGCCTTAGAAACAGCCCTTGAATAGGTCTCTCAACTTGAGTGCCAGCGAACTAAAGCAAAAAGTTACCTGCCCCATACACCCAACATACAACGGTGGGACAGGTGTAGGGTAACCAATAGACACACTCCAGTTCAATATGTGCAGAAATGAAAGGTCACTGATCCACAGAAATTCTGAAGTCCTGCAAAGCATAGGTTGGCAGGTCCTTCATCAGGATTCAAGGTCAGGGAACACCTCCTTCATGGTTTTCTGCTTCACTCACCAGACACTTGGCTCCGCCTTAAAAATTATCTTTCCATTTCCTTGGAAAGTACCTTGTGTTTGCAGATGTGTAGCTTTCTCAGTCGGCTTCCTGGCTGAAGAACTTTGGAGAACTAAAGGTCTTTTTATTTTGTAATCCTCTGTCACTTTCAGTCTACGTTTACAGAGTTTCTGCAAATACGATTCCCTCAAAGTTTCTGCAAATACAATTCCCTCAAAAATACCATATGTCTTCTGTGAATCTTATTGGACTTCAATCCCTTAGACAAAAGCCACAACCAAAAATTCCTTCAAGACAAGCCCTTCTCTTCATCTGCTGAGATGACTGAGAGACACCACCCTTAAGCTTCTTAGAAGCCCTATTGCTAGACCAGACAGATTTCCAAGGCACCACTTTGTATCTTTCTAAGATCTTAAGCGACTGTACAGCCACACCCTCAGCTTCAACTTTAGACCATCTTGTTTTCCTGCAAGCGCTCTGAATTTGATCTCTGCCAAAAACCCATTTCTCAATTCTCTTGATTTTTTTTCAGAAAAAAATTCATCATTTATTAACATAAAGAGACTGATAATTCCCCAAACCAGCAATTCCTGTGACCCCTTGTGTTTACTATTCTACCTGTCACTTTACCTTTCATATTTTACTATAATCATCTAGAGGAAGCCAGGAAGCACCTTAACACTCCACCAGGAAATCATTTCAGCTAGAGCATCTAGTTAATTAGGTACAATTTACAGGTATAAGGGAGTGACTATCACGTAAGAATCACTGGGACCACTTTAGAAGCTGGCTACAATACCTGTACAACAAAGAACAGAGCCTGAACCAAGATGGCGGAGTAGAAGGACGTGCTCTCACTCCCTCTTGCGAGAACACCAGAATCACAATTAACTGCTGAACAATCAAGGACAGGAAGACACTGGAACTCACCAAAAAAGATACCCCACATCCAAAGACAAAGGAGAAGCCACAATGAGATGGTAGGAGGGGCACAATCACAATAAAATCAAATCCCATAACTGCCAGGTGGGTGACTCACAAACTGGAGAACACTTATACCACAGAAGTCCACCCACTGGAGTGAAGGTTCTGAGCCCCACGTCAGGCCTCTGAACCTGGGGGTCCGGCAACGGGAGGAGGAATTTCTAGAGAATCAGACTTTGAAGGCTAGCGGGATTTGAATGCAGGACTCTGACAGGACTGCGGGAAACAGAGACTCCACTCTTGGAGGGCACACACAAAGTAGTGTGCGCATCGGGACGCAGGGGAAGGAGCAGTGAACCCAGGGGAGACTGGACCAGACCTACCTGCTGGTGTTGGAGGGTCTCCTGCAGAGGCAGGGGGTGGCTGTGGCTCACCGTGGGGAGGGCAACACTAGCGGCAGAAGTTCTGGGAGGTACTCATTGGCCTGAGCCCTCCCAGAGCCTGCCATGGGCCCCACCAAAAAGCCTGCAGGCTCCAGTGTCGGGTCGCCTCACGTCAAACAGGAAGGGAACCCAGACCCATCAGCAGTCAAGAGGATTAAAGTTTTACTGAGCTCTGCCCACTAGAGCAACAGCTGGCTCTACCCACCACCAGTCCCTCTAATCAGGAAACTTGCACAAGCCTCTTAGATAGCCTCATCCACCAGACGGCAGACAGCAGAAGCAAGAAGAACTACAATCCTGCAGCCTGTAGAACAAAAACCACATTCACAGGAAGACAGACAAGATGCAAAGGCAGAGGGCTATGTACCAGATGAAGGAACAAGAAAAAACCCCAGATAAACAACTAAATTAAGTGGAGATAGGCAACCTTCCAGAATAAGAATTCAGAATGATAGTGAAGATGATCCAGGACCTTGGAAAAAGAATGAAGGCAAAGATCGAGAAGATGCAAGAAATGTTTAACAAAGACCTAGAAGAATTAAAAAACAAACAAACAGAGATGAACAATACAATAAGTGAAATGAAAACTACACTAGAAGGAATCAATAGCAGAATAACTGAGGCAGAAGAATGGATAAGTGACCTGGAAGACAGAATGGTGGAATTCACTGCTGCTGAACAGAATAAAGAAAAAAGAATGAGAAGAAGTGAAGACAGCCTAAGAGACCTCTGGGACAACATTAAACGCAACAACATTTGCATTATAGGGGTCCCAGAAGGAGAAGAGAGAGAGAAAGGACCTGCCAAAATATTTGAGGTCATTATAGTCAAAAACTTCCCTAACATGGGAAAGGAAAGAGCCACCCAAGTCCAGGAAGCACAGAGAGCCCCATACAGGATAAACCCAAGGAGAAACATGCCGAGACACATAATAATCAAATTGGCAAAAATTAAAGACAAAGAAAAATTATTGAAAGCAGCAAGGGAAAAACGAAAAATAACATACAAGGGAACTCCCATAAGGTTAACAGCTGATTTCTCAGCAGAAACTCTACAAGCCATAAGGGAGTGGCATGATATACTTAAAGCGATGAAAGGGAAGAACCTACAACTAAGATTACTCTACCCAGCAAGGATCTCATTCAGATGCAATGGAGAAATCAAAAGCTTTACAGACAAGCAAAAGCTAAGAGAATTCAGCACCACCAAACCAGCTCTACAACAAATGCTAAAGGAACTTCTCTAAGTCTGAAACACAAGAGAAAAAAAGGGCCCACAAAAACAAACCCAAAACAATTAAGAAAATGGTCATAGAAACATACATATCAATAATTACCTTAAAAGTGAATGGATTAAATGCTCCAACCAAAAGACACAGACTGGCTGAATGGATACAAAAACAAGACCCGTATATATGTTGTCTACAAGAGACCCAATTCAGACCTAGGGACACATACAGACTGAAAGTGAGGGGATGGAAAAAGATATTCCATGCAAATGGAAATCAAAAGGAAGCTGGAGTAGCAATACTCATATCAGATAAAATAGACTTGAAAATAAAGAATGTTACAAGAGAAAAAGAAGGACACTACATAATGATCAAGGGATCAATCCAAGAAGAAGATATAACAATTATAAACATATATGCACCCAACATAGGAGCACCTCGATATATAAGGCAACTGCTAACAGCTATAAAAGGGGACATCAACAGTAACACAATAATAGTGCGGGACTTTAACACCTCACTTACACCAATGGACAGATCATCCAAAATGAAAATAAATAAGGAAACAGAAGCTTTAAGTGACACAATAGACCAGACAGATTTAACAAAAACAGCAGATGACACTTTCTTCTCAAGTGTGCCCAGAACATTCTCCAGGATAGATCACATTTTGGGTCAC